TGAGGAGCAGGGGGCTGGGAGACTTTTATCTCCCATCACCAGCTCCACAACCATGGAGATTCATCCACAAATGAATAGTTTAAAGGTATGACCAGGGTGCTGCAGCATTTCATAGATGTTAGACTGACCAGCAATTATTTACACTATTGCCACTGAAAGGGGATTAAGCTACAAGGAGTGACATGAGAGCATCTTAGGGGTCCTATGATAGTACTGGAAGATGGGATACTTCATGTTCTCTCTCCTTTCTGTAACAGGGAAAACATATGGATCTAGTATTTGAGAGAGTCCAGCGGCAGGTCCCAGAGGTGGTGGTGGGGAGGGCGGGGGGTGCAGTCTTACCCCGCTTTGATTCTCGCTCCACTGAAATTTTAAAACAAATTGCCCAGCAGGGACAGTTGCAATTGTATTCAGGTAGAGCTGAGGGAGTCAATTGACTTCATGGCTCATTATTATCTACTTGATCCCTGCTAATCTCTTCATTAGGTTCAGGGAGGGACTCATTGGGGTTTGAGGGGAATGAGAGGCCAGGGGGGCTGGGGCATGATGGGGGCACGCCTGTGCAGCGTGTAGTGGATTCCTGGGGGCAGTGATGGGGCAGGGTAGGACTCAATGCAGCAGGGTGGGGTCTGATATGTTTGGAGCAGTGTGGTGAGGGTGGACTACATCAATCCCTCATGCAGTGATGAGCAAGTGGAGTAGCAGTCACAGAACTGCCCTACCAAATACATGTGCATGAGAAAAAAGAAAGAGCATATAACGCATCATCCTCTCTGGAAGGAGTAGAGAGACAGTAAAGGTTTCCAGCAGTAACGAGGAGGGAAGGGAGTAAGCTTTCCCCTTCTTCAAACAGCTAGGGGCGGAAAAGGAAAGTGAGGAGAGTTTCCTCATCAATAGGAATTTTATGGAGTGCTAAGCAGTAGGGATATTTTTTTTTATTAGAAAAAAATTGAATTGATCAATGGAAGTTACAGACAGTAACATTCAAGTAAAATATTAACTTCCAAATCAACAGGACAAATAATCACAGAAAATATTAATCTTTACTGTACTAACATGTCAGCCCAAACCGCCTGAGAAAATCTGCTGGTCACACACTTAAAAATACATTTATAATACTATGCACAATTCCCTGAACCCTTCAGACCCCATCTGTAGAAGCTGCTATACAAGCCATGACATCCATTTTGTCCGTCCTCTAAAACTAATAGTTATTGTATTCTTATTTTCTGCTCCTATAGAGCCATATCCTAAAGTCCAGACCTAGCTTTTCTCAATACATTAGTTGGATCAGTGGGAGTTTTAACTGGAAAAACTAGGGGCCACACTAGTTGTCCAATTAGGAGAGAGCTGTAGTAGAAACCTGCTTAACATGTGGTGCAGTCCCACTGGGATTTGAATGAAACAGAAGGAAGATGATATAGCAACAGTCTGGATAGCATTTCCCATCTGAGGAAAGGAAAGAGACCTCAGCTACACTGTTTCTTGCTTCCTTGTCTTGTTTCAGGAAATATTAGAGTGCAATGAAAAGCAGAAAAATCTGCATAGCTCCAAGTAAGAGGAAGTTAGGTACTTGAGCTAAATGGCCAAGTAACTTTTGATTGGGTAGTTCACAAAATATCCCAGTCCAGCCTTGGTAACACTGGCACATGAATCTCTGCTTCATGGCTTCTATGTCTTCAGGTCCAGGTTTACCAGTGACTACAAATCTTGGACCTTTTTCAGAATAGTGGACTCTGATCTTAAAACTGTTGGGTGACAAGTGTAGATAAGCAGAAGATTCACTGTTCTTACGGATACATCTTCCATTTTTCTTGCACAAAACTTTACTGCAGAGTTTGGCAGCTGAGGTCACATTAATGACATAGTGTCCTAAGGGACCATCTATGTATCTTTTCACAGTTGAACAGCTCTCCTGCAGGAAATCAAAAGCCATGTTACTCAATAGCTAGCATTACATCCAAATTTCATTATTTTAGTAGATTATTAACATGAAAGCAAGAGGTTGGCATCCATTATAATCTTTGTTTGTTTGTTTTCCATACCTGGTAACAACTGGGTGAATTTGCTATTAAAAAAACCCAACAAACAAAAAAAACCCAAAAGCAAACATAAAGGTTGCTGTAAAGGAACAATTTAAAATTAAAGGGAGTTTAAAAACATATACTGACTCACTTTAGTATTGGCAATTTAGTACCAGCAGTTCCCATGCTGATTACCATAACTCCTTCAAATTAATAACATATTGAAAATTTCAGTAATTCATGGTGAAGTTGCAGACACCAGATAAAATAGCTTTTGAGTGCATTCTCATACTACGAATCAGGTCTCAAACTCATTCAGGGCACCAGCAGCCTCCAATGCGTCAGTGGCAGAACTCCCATTGATTGACTCCAATAGAAGCAGCGTAAGATTCTGTGGGAATTGCTGTTTCCTACATTCCTAAAGCCTCTTAAGAGCCAATGAGATTGTCCTCTGCCTCAGAGCAAGGAGTGCTGGCTGAGCAGATGCCTACATAGACAGACAGGATATCCTCCTGTCACCCTCTATAATTCCAGAAGGGAAGAGCCATAAAACTATTTCAGAATAGTCCCAAGGCCTTGGGGAAAGAACCAGGACTTTTCTTGTATAGTAGTAGGTAGTCATCAATTCTTCTAGATCGTATTGTATGGAAGAGGTCCCCCAGGCCATCAACACGTATGCCTAGACAGAAGCATGGAGAAGTGGAGGCTTCCCAGATCTTCCATCCTCCCTTTAGACCAGAGGTTCCCAACCCCCAGGCCGCAACCTGGTGCCAGTCTGCAGGAGGGTAGGCTGCTGGTCCAGAAGTGACCATGGACCGGTAAACCACAGACCGGCAAACTGCAGACTGGAAGTGACCGGCATACTGCAGGCTGGCAGCCAACCCTTTTTTACCAAGTATAAAAAAGGGTTGGCTGCCAGCCCGCAGTATGCCAGTCACTTCCAGTCCAAGGTCACTTCTGGTCCATTGTTTTCTGGTCTGCAATCTAAAAAGTTTGGAAACCACTGCTTTAGATCATTGACACAGAATCCAAAGGCCAAAAACTGAATCCAGACATTTGGTGCCTCAATGCCTGTAGTTATGTGTGCGTCCATTGTCACTGTATTCAACCTGTGACTTTGCTACAAAATTGAAGACAGTACTGTATCACTGACCTGTGAAAAGTCTGAATCGCCTCTGCCAAAAGAAACACACTTTTGGCTTGTGGCTAGACTGACAAAAATATTATGCAAACAGACCATTGTAAAATGGATGACGTAACATTTTGAAAGACTGACAAGCAGCTGTATCTTTCTTTTAACTTTGTATTAGTGTTATGTATTACTATAGGCAACATCAGCATTTGATTCTTGAAAGTGATCTCTGGACTGAAGTGCAGGAAAGAGACTTCTCTGGATAATTACAATATGGCATTAACAAGCCCTGAAAGGAATTGCAAGCAGTCATCTCCAGCCAATATTCATGGTGGGCCTTGAGGGTAAAAGGTAAAAAATGATAGAACTGGGGATGGGCGGGGTAAAAGATCCTGAGGATTTTGTCAAGGACAGAGCGTTTCATTACGGAACACTAGTAAACCAAACCCACTTACCTTTGAGCTGGCATATTGCATGCTTCCCCAAAGAACAACCCCTGCTGCTCCCAAGGCAGCACTTTCACCAATAGTGTTCACCAGGTCAATCTGAAAAATGGAAAAAGGAAAAAAAATGGACCTTGAAAAAGAATCAAAACCCAAGGACACAAATAAGCAAAGGACATGCTAGCACCTCAGCACTGCTTTTTCAGAGGAAATGTTGGTTCCTACTGTGAAGTGTTCATACTCAAAAAGGCCCATGGTAAACTCTTTACTTAGACTGTAAGTTGCTTGAGGAAAGGAATTACTTCCTCTGCTTTGTTTGTACAGTACCAAACTTAATACGGTTCTGCTCCATAACAAAGGATCATAGGTGTTACTCCAATACAGATAATAGATCATAGGCAGAGACTCCCTGAAGTGTTTTGGACAATCCATTCCAAAAGTATGTCACAAGTTCTAGGAAGAGAAGCCAGTTTAACTATTTAAAAAGCAATCCTGTCTGTATGCACAACTAAATGTACTTTGCAATAGATGTTACTGTATATTTACAAGTTCCTTCAACAGCCCATAAGAGGCTGTGACAACGTTAAGCAGCAATGCTTTGGATAATTATTGTACACGACTATTACTTTTTGCATGAGTGATTTGACCAGAACAGGCATTGATCATCTGCAATTCTCAGACCTTGTCTGCAAACCCAAGTTGTACCACTTTAATTGTACCAATTAAATTAAAGAGGTATAGCGGCCAATGGTGTGGACACAGCAGCACAAGTAAGACTGCTTCCTGTCAGAATGACAGTCTTGCATTGAATCTGGCATGGACAGAAAAAGTGGTGATCTAAGACTAGACAAGTGCCAAGGCCTGAAAAAAGGGGAAAATAGAGGGGGGTAAAACAGAAACAAAACAAAACCTTTTTTTCTTTTCTTTCTTTAAAAAAAAAAACAAAACCAGAAGGAAAGAGAGGAAGAAAGGCAATAACGGCAGCAGCTTTTCAGAAGCAGACCTTCCAGGCATCTGCAAAATGCACAAGCACTCTGTCTGGAGCCAAGTCAGTTAAGAACTGAACCATAAGCCAAGGAATAGTTGGGCTATGGCACACTGTAGGGTACTGCTAAGGCAAAAAAAATATCTCTGAGCTTGAGTGCTTGAAGTGCAGGCAGAGCCACAGTGGATCTTCTGTAACAGCAGGAAAAGAGTCTGGGGAGCCATTATCAAGACAGAAAATAAAATAAAATAAAAAAGATTTGCTCAGGTGAACCAGAGCCTCCAGTAAATTCCTACCCTTAGCAGAAGCAGGGAAGGTAGAAATAAATTAACAGAATCAGCCACAGCAGATAGCATTCTTCTTTCCCTAAAAACCTAGCAGATGCCTTAACTGAGTCAGTTGGGAAAACTGGTTCCCCTGCTCGCTATCCTCTGAGGCTAGACACTGGCTGTTGTATTTCTTTTTGCAAGAAGCTACAACTATGTCATAAAAAATAAGTACATTTCACAGGATCGCTGATGCTCTGTGGTAGACAAAACGTGATGCCTATGTTTATTAATATGAAAAGTATTTATTATTAAAATATTACCAAGGCAATCTAAATGTACACAATTTACAAATTATACTATGAGGAATTCCTACGTCTGAAGTGTTAATTGTCCAAGAGACAGATCAATATTTCAGGGAAGTGAGCTGAATTACTGGAGGAGAATATGAGAACAAACAAGTGGTGGCTGCAACCTTTAACTAAAGGTCAGAAAAAATAATATTTGAAACCTTTAAGCTGTATTAAAGGACAGGTTTGCCTGCTGGTTTTCTGCATAGTGCTCACAGTATTCTGAGGTATAATTGGGCTCACCTGCAGTTCCTAGCACTGCTGATCACCCAAGCAGTTCTTGAGAGAAGGTCATTACACCTAAAATCATATAGTTCAGTGCTTTCTTTAAAAAAAAAATAGGGTAGAGTATGCTGCCCATGTTACTTTCAAGTCAGGAAATGGCAATTTTTTTCCCCTGCTGGATTTATTTTAGCAGTAAATGTGTTTGAATTAAAGATCAAAGCTGGGTGAATTTATAAAATACCTGAAACTTTTGGTAATGAGCGATCTATAGGCCTTTTCATGTGTGAAGAACTGTATAAAGATTATAACAATGCGAAGTCTGGACTGTGTCTCTCAACATGAGCTACAGGATGGTGGAGTAAATTAGCACTCCACACAACTCAGACTTCATTGACAAGTAGGGGATCTTGTTTCACTCTGACAAAACAAAGATGAATCTACACCAAACACATCTGAATAAAAGATAGAAAGGACTTTTAAGTAAGTCTGGTGTAGCAGCACAGCACTGGATAGTGAGTCCTGTTTCATTTCTTGTCATAGACTTCCTGGGTAACCTTGAGGCAATGACTTACACCGTGACAGCTTTGTAAGCCAGGAAATCCCTGAGCTCCCCTACCCGTCTGCTCCCCCTGACAGGCTCCATATCAGAGGTATAACTTAAAATGTGGGTGGGGCAGGGTGGGCAGAGAAGAAGGAACAAAGCGAGTGCTTACCTCCTTATCACCGTGAGGGCAGTAGCTTCTGCATGGCATGGGTTCCTGCTGCCTAAGTGCAAAGTACTGACCATGGATCACTGCTGTGGCAGTGCAGGCTCCCTGGAGACTATAATTCTGGTCCCCCATTCTCCCCATCCTAAATGGTGCTAATACTTCATACACAGAAATGCCAGCCACAGAGAGAGTACCCCTGAGTTGCCTCACTGGTATATTTCTGGGTTTGGGGCACATCAAGAGAGTGGCTACACAGAACATGACTGGAAATGTCTGGCAGAAGTAACTATACCTTTAGATCCACCTCCCCAAAGGATTTATGCAGAACTGAGACACCTATGTCCAAGAGCATGATCCTCCAAATCCTCCAACTAACTGTATGTAGATGTAGTCTGTAGACACGCAAGTTTTAAATCAGTAACATTTCTAATACAGTTAGAGCTCTGCTCCTGTGCTTGCCCAGAGGTATCTCAGTATCAAGCAGCTTGATACCATGTAGGATGTCTACACTGCACTTCCAGTGCTGCTGAGCTGGCCCCACTCACGTTCACCAAACCCAGAAGCACAGCCGTGAAGCTGCCCTCAGGATGCCGCAACAAATACTTTCAAGTACCCCAGGAACAAAGGTCTCCTGAACAGCTGTGAGGGTAGTTCAGGGTGGGCAGAGAAGGAAGACGAGGGAAGTGAGTACTTACCTCCTCGTACAGAAGCTGCTGCCCTTGTGGTGATGGCATGGGCTACTGTTGCCTCCATGTGAAGTAGTGACCCACTTGCCTTTTATCCAGTAACCAGAAGCATAACTTGGCGAGGGGAAAGAAAGGCACCAGCCTCAAGTGACAAATTAGGGGAGGGTCTGGAATGATGCCCCCTGCCCCAGAGTCTGTTGCATCTGGAGCAGCCCTGCACATCAGAGCCATAGGAGCTGAGCAGGAGCAGCCCTGTGCCACCCAGCTAGAGGACCCAGGTGCAGGGGGATGGCAGAGGCAGCAGGGGTCTTTAAGTCCCTGGGGCAGGTAAGACAAGGCTTTTCTAGCTTAGTTTCTAGAGCCAGGTGATGCAGGGCTGCTGCTCCTGCTGTGTCCTGGCACCCAGCTCCTCCAGACAGAAAAGGAGCACTTACTCTCTCACCTTCTGAAGTTTTGCCCAGGGCAATAAAAGGTATAGTTATGTCTCTGCCAATTACTTTAATGTAAAATATGTAAAAAAGCTTTGAGGCAGGTCTTTCCCCTTCCCAGGTGAGGGTCCTAAGTACCAGGCTACAGAGTCATTCTCATTAGCTTAGCCTCTGTCTTTGGCCCAAGGGAAAGGTTTAGGACTTGGAATAAAAAGTGAAAGGTGGTACTTATGGAATGGGGCATACCTCCAGTACATCCTTATTCTCAGCTAGTGGCTGGTTTAGGTTGCTCTCTGCTTAGCATACTAGCTCTTGTGCATGCCATTCTGGGGCACTAAAATCTCCGCATGCATTGTATATGGGAGCTTAGATACCCAGCTCAGGGCTATGAATCCCACTCCAATGAGAAAAGTTAGGTGCTGTAATACCTGAGTCCCTTTGTGAATCCAGGCCTTAGTCTTTCTGTTCCTTACATCATTTCACTTCCTTACCTCCTAGGCATGTCTGACGATAAAAGATTATCATAGAAAATTATGGTTGGAAGGGACCTCAGAAGGTCATCTAGTCCAACCTCTTGCTCAAAGTAGGACCACCCCAACTAGATCATCCCAGCCAAGGCTTTGTCTACCTGGGTCTTAAAAACCTCCAAGGATGGAGATTTCACAACCTGTCTGGGTAGTCTGTTCCAGTGCTACACTACCCTCCTAATGAGAAAGCTTCTCCTAATATCTAACCTAAACTTCCCTTGTTGACACCCGAGACCATTGCTCCTTGATATGTCATCTGCCATCATTGAGAAGGGTGTAACTCCATTCTCTTTATAACCACCTTTCAGGTACTTGAAGGCTGTTATTAAATGCCCCCTCAATCTTCTCTGGTCTAGACTAAATTAGCCCAGTTCCCTCAGCCTTTCCTCAGAAATCATGTGCCCTCACCCCCTAACTATTTTTGTTGCCCTCCACTGGACTCTCTCCAATTTGTCCACATCCTTTCTGTAGTTGGGGGGCGGGGGAGCAAAACTGAACACAGTACTCCAGATGTGGCCTCAACAGTGCCGAATAGAGGGGAATAATCACTTCCCTCAGTCTGCTGACCAAACCCGTATCAATGCAGCCCAGTCTACCATTAGCCTTCTTTGTAACAAGGGCAAACTGTTGGCTCACATTCGGTTTATTGTCTACTGTAATCCCCAGCTCCTTTTCTGAAGAGCTGCTGCTTAGCCAGTACATGGGATTGTTCTGTCCTAAGTGCAGGACTTTTCAAGTGTCCTTATTGAACTTCATGAGATTCCTTTTGTTTCAGTGCTCCAATCTGTCAAGATATCTCTGAATTCTAGCCCTACCCTCCAGTGCATCTACTACTCCCCACACCTTGGTGTCATATGCAAACTTGCTGAGGCTGCACTTCTTCCCATCTTCCAAATCACTGATGAGATGCTTGGAAGATTGGGAGATGCTCAGATACAAAGGCTATGCCAGTAGATAAATAAGCAGATGGGATATTTTGGCAGGTAGTCTGCCCTTCTCCTGCTGCCTACCCCAATCCCTACAAGAGCTATGTAAAATAAAGAGACAATGTTAAAAATAAACACTCCATTTTGTAATGGTTTTTGATTTTGTCTTATCTTCCAGCTACTCAAGGGGAACCTCTATGACTCAACTGTTGCTTAATGCTCCCCAGTATCAGGGATTCTCTACTCTCCTGGTTTCTTCCTCTCTCTTCTCATGTTCAAGACACTTTTCCAACCTTGGAATGAAGTGGTGCTTCAGATTCTTGTGTACTGGACTATGCCCATGGAGAGGAGGTATGGAGAATCCATACCTCTCCTACCTACACTCCTTCTGCCCCCTCATCAGCTGTGAAATGTCTTTGTATGTTAAATAAGGGAAGGAAGATCTTTAATCTTTTGGAAACATCAGTATGAAAGGAAATGGACTGCAATTAAGAGAAGTCACATTCCGCAAAACAAATGTTTGTGAATCAAATTCCAAGAAGTCATTCTTTTCCATCCTGGTTATATCTCATCTTGTTCTGCATTTGGGACCATTTGTACCAGCTTGGCTCTGCTCAAGGGCAATGGTCTTTGCACAAATACATGCTTTAGCATGAGAACAAGGAAAAGAGCAGTTGTTATTCATTAGTCTCATTTGTTATTTGTCATTCTGCTTTATTAATAATCTCAGTCATCTAGGCAGGGAGCAGAGATGTTAGCATACAACTTAAATGACTGATCACATCTCATTAGTAATGAACAGTTTAGGTAGGCAATTTCTAAATACCCCATAAATGAACTAGGTTCAGTTTGCAAGTGATTTGCAAAGAAAATGCAAGCAAGAATTCTCAGCTACCTTATTTTGCAGTGAATCCAGTTCTAAACGCAATCAGTGCACTTTGAGTCATGGAGTATGGGCAACACAGCTGAAGCGACATTTTGAACCTGAGTCTTCTATCTTGATGAAGGGCTGCTGAAGGTTCAGTTCTCTCTCAGGACAACATCTCCCTTCCCCGCAGCTTTTGTTTCACTGTTTCTTTCTCAATGAGTGACCTCTGCTGTATCTTTAGTATTGTACAGATTAGGGCAGACATACGGGGTGCATCCCCACTAGCACACACATGAGGTTTGTGGCTCCTCAACACAGTTTGAAGCACTGCAAGCCACACACAGTGCATTGCTGCACTGCTAAATTTGACAATGGGAGATCCCACTAAAAAAATGCCACTAAAAAAAGTGGTGTGGTGCATGCGGCAGCAGCATGCACTGCTGCAAACCAGAGCCTGGCCAGTCAGGGCCATGCTCTGGCTACTGGCCAGGCTCCAAGCAGCCAGATTACCACTGCTGATGCCCCAGAAGGCCCCAAAGATCCCAGGTAAGGGTGCTGGGGCCAGCCCAGGTGCTGGCCCTACCCCTCCTGGAACAATTTGCCTCACATCAACCCCACATTTGTGCCACTGCTACTTTTGCCATGGCAACCACATGCCCCTATATATGGGGATGCACCCACAATGTCATATTGTGTCAGCCAGCAAATACAAGCTGTATTTTCATAGGGCTAAATTGTCTTAACAAGGACTTTACTACATGGGAACCCTGAGTTGCTGAATAAAGATTTGGCAACTCAGGGTTCCCATGCAGTAAAGTCCTTGTAACTCCCATGTGCAGTCTGGCAGATTAAGACTATAGGGAGAAAATTCAGGAGCTGCCACTCCCTCCTTGAAACAAGTGGAAAGGAGCAGGCAAGCAGATGGCTGGAAAGTAAAAGTAGCTGCTGCTCAGATAACATGCTTAAGTTCACATAGAGAGGCAGTGTGCTCCACAAAAAGTGAGAGCGCTTCCCAGGGAAAAGGGGATCTGCAGAGGTAACTTATCTGTGGCTAATGACAGATGTTGTATTGAAAGCACCACCGGATCTGATGCGCAATCCCAGCAATCGCATCTCCTGCTGTGGCGCACATGTTTCTTGCCAGGTCAAGGGCTCCAATGCATTCCCCCAGCTGGGACACCCAATCAGTTAATCACATCTTAAGTGTAACAACTGTCAGAGGCCTGAAAAACACAATTCACTATTTGGTCTGCTACCAGAGCAGTGCTGATAGTGAGGTTACTGAAATGCCTATAGTTCTTCTGTTGTGAATGGACCTGACGTATATCTGCTGAAAGTTTTAAAGAGATCTCTAAAGCATCCAGGCATAAAAAGATACATACACTAATTGTGTACACTAATTTTAAATAATGACTACTGTATGACTATTATGAAGCTTGGAAGCTAGTTCGGGATAAAAATGAGCTTTAGATAGCTTTAAATGTTCAAGGTGTGCATAAACTACACTAAACAGGCAAACTATATTGCAGGATTTTAGGCAATGCCAATGATATTTCCATATTAAGACAGGGGTTTGCATATGTTTACAAACAGCCTGTCACTTACAACCACCATAACTATTTATACCTGTTGTTTTCAGTAATATTCACCAACTTTGTGTGCATTTTGAATTCTCAAGTGAAGCATCTTTAAATGGAATCCTGACTCCACTGAAATTAATGGCAAAATATGTCATTCCTTTGAGTCTCAGTTTTTGAAGACAGTGAGGATTTGCAGTTCCCTTTAAAGTGAGTCCTCACCACCTGAAAATCAAAGAGTCTTGGGTTGCAAAGACAAAAAACCTGGGGCCTCAAATTAATGAATGCTGCTGAAACTGTGGCTTTGACCAGTTTCTGACTTAAAATCCTCTGAGACTGCAGGGATATGCTTGAGTCCAGCCAAGATTTCCTACTAACAGATCTAAACATGTGTGGTTATCCAGGAGCAGCCTGAGACCTATGGGGCTGACTATGCACAGGCCTTGATGGCAGCTTAGGGGTGAAGAATAAAACACTGACTGATCACCACTACCCCAGCCCCCCAACCAGGTTGTAATTTATTTTTTGACTGCAAGAGTCTTGGAGTCTTTTTGTGCAGCACTTCATGGTACACTGCTGCCATGATTCAGGAGGGTGGCAAAGAATCCACATCCATAAAGATTTTGGCAGGAGGGGATATATTTGCATGAGCTTCCTGCCTGCTACTAGATCCCCACCAAACCTTTCTACACTCAGGCTAGAACGGGTGTCTAAGACAGCAAACAGTCATGGATTACGTGTTCCTTGCCACTTGCATAGACTGAGTCAAGGCCGTGGATCATACTTTCCATGATATTATCAGAAGCCATTGGTGTTTGTGTATATATCTGTGCTGCTTATGTTGTAACCTCTCTATACATTGCATTTTTTAAAATATTTCCATTTGTTATTACTGGGTGAAGAGGCATTATATGACACAACAATTTAATTTCAGTAAAGTAAAACTTCAAAACAAGTAAAAAAAAAACCCCACGTACTAGATCATAATAATTACAAAAAGCCAGACAGCTAAGAGATGCTTGCTACCTCCAAAGGTGTCTGCAATCCTATTCTGTACAGTGGGAGTTTCCTCATGTAGGAGCTAGAAATCCCAGACAAGGCTTAGTTGAGACTAATTTATTTGACTAGCTTACTTTTGTGCTAAGTGAATTTCCATGTGAGGAAGATAAATAAGCCCTGAGATTTCTTTCTCATGAAAGTTTATCTTCCTATTGTACTAATTAGTTTCAAACTTCACAAAGATTTGTCAACTCCATTTCACAGCTGTACTGAAAAATTAAAATATCTGAATGAATTACTTCCCTGAGGAAACAATTTCTCTCTACTTTCTTCTAAATTACCCTCATCAAAAATATGTCATTATTCTACAGAAATAGACACAAAGACCATGGACTCATTATTGGAAGCTACAGTGCTTTGTATCATACTGCAGTACTTTTCTTTAAAAGTGCTGTTCTAGATATCAAACACAATTGCAGCTGTAACTATAAAGAGAAATTTGAGAAAGTAGCTTTTCCAAGGAACTGCCTAGCTATTTAGATTTTTCTATCTATCTGCTTACCTCTGTCAACACACAGAAAGTATAGGCATAAAATGGTCTGGAGTAAACAAAAACAGGCAATATATAGTCTTTCCTAGCAATAGAGGCAATACGGATTGCTTCCTTAACCCGATAGTGAACAAATTTCAGAGCATTTGGACTTGACTTCAATATATAATCCAGGTAAATAGAGGGATAGAGAGCAGTACTTTCTTTCCATAACCAAATCAGGAGATCATTGCGGGCAGATTCAATGTCTGGGCATTTTCCTGTGTATGCTTGTGGATGTTCCTTGTAATCGTAATTGTAGCAGTCTGGGTAAAGATAGTAGCCCCAGAGACCATTTGGTCTCATATGTTCAGCCAGAAGAATAGTGTTGTTCATAAAACTCTTGCCAGCATTCTCAAATTCCTCCTTAGCAACTTTCCTAAGTTTGTCCTCTGACCACTGAGGATGGTGCCTCCTAACTAGTTCGAGAGACTTATTTCTATAAATGGTTTTATTACCCCAATTCCTATCCCATTGGGGTCTCCAGTTTTCCCAGTCAATGACTGCAAGGCCTTGGAATTTCTTCATGGGTATGGAATAGTCAATGTCAGACTTAGCTTTGTTAAGGTGTTTTATAAGGCTTTCATTTTGTGGCACCCCTCCATTGACAGGATATCCATTGTCAGAGTAAAAGGGGTAATGCCCCAGATGAGTGTGATAAAAGATTGTCACATTGGATCCGCTCAAAGTCTCATTAGTGTTTGAAGCAATGTCAAAAACGCTGAGGTCTAAGTCCACCTTGTACCGGAGCCTGCACTGTTCTGTAGGTGCATTCCAAACAACAATGAAAGGCTTATGGAGTAACAGTGGGGCTTTTGCTTGCTTGAGCAGTTGACCATTGGTCATAATAAATAGCATTGTAATTGCTATCCATTTAATCCACAAACTGCACATGGTAGGTTGTTTTCACAGAGAATGATATGATGGTTTCCTTGAAAACAAAAACAAGTAGAGACAATTTTGTTAAAAAGCAATAGCCACACCAGGGGCAAACAGTATGCAAAGAGATGGCTTTGATTTAGGGCTTCTTTTTTTTAGCTTCATACTCATGATATAAGAAAGGAGAAACTTAAAACAAAAGCAAAATACCCCCCAAACAAGTGGGTTGAAATGCTGCCTGAAACAGGGCATATGCCTTGCAATTCTGTTTTATGCTCTGAGAAATCTTACTTGTAGACCACTTAGGGCTCTCCAACTTATGGCCCATGGGCTGTATGTAGCCACAAGAGGTTAATTTGTGGCCTCTGAGCACCCACTACTTCGGTTGCAGCAGCAAAAACTCCAGGCTCCCCTTGCATTCCCTCCCTGCCCCCATATCTGGGATGGCATTGGGTATGGCAGTGCAGCCCTCAGCCTGGGGAACTGGGGAGGGAGCTGAGAGCTCATACACATGGCACTTTGCAAAGGGGGTACCCACACATGGTGTGGTTTGGTACAGTATGGGGGGAAGCATTCATATGCAGTGTGGTTCAGCACAGTGGAGGAAGTGGGGGAGCACCTTGATATGGTGTAGTGCAGAGGGGTGTGCCCACACAGTGTGCAGCCCTAGGGCATCTCACCCATGTGGCTTTAACCCCCTGGCCATAGACAAGCTGGGGTCAGAACAGCTAGGGGGGACCCATGCATCAGGGGCTTTCCCCCTTGCTGCCTCTACCCAGCGGTAGATGGGGGGTAGGCCAGGGATGGGAAAAGAGCCCTCCACCCCAGTTCCACCCCAATCAGGGGTCTGCATACGTGGGGGGGGGACATTGTGCAGTGGGGGCTTTCCCCTCATTGCCCCTGCCCAGGTGCCTACCTGTCTGTCAGCAAGGGGGAACATCCCTGCTACACTGACACCCGCTAGCTGTGCAGACCCCAGCTTGGAAAAAGCCTAGGGCTGGGGCAGGGGGCTCCATCCCCCCCTTCACCTGCCCTCCCCCTTCCCCACCTAGCTGACAAGAGCAGTCAGGATGTAGGGCTGGGAAGCAGAGGCTTTGCTGCCTCAGCTCTGTAACAGCCCAGGAACAGAGGCAGGGATAGCCCAGAGTTTGACTGGAGCAAACAAGCACAGGCAGAGGCTAACCCACCTGCCCAGCAAGAATCCACAAAGGATCCTAGGATGCTGGAGGACAGCAACCTAAGTTGAGTCGGGAGAAGATCTGGTGCAGAACTGTGATGGACCATTCTAACCTAAACTGATTAAGTCTGATACTACATCCATCCAGGTCTATCTTAGACTGGGTTGCACCATTTTAAACTGGTCTGCATGCTCTGAGCTTCTGTCACAGGGTTATACTGGTTTCCAGTCTTTTATACTGGTTTATGTGTAATGTTTGTATCTAGCCTGTGTTTAAACCAAACAGACATCATGTTTAATCTGGGCCTGAAGACAGTTGTTTACCCATATAGCTTGAATGCAATTAAGTCAAATTAGCTGCTATTGTCCCAGGACAAAGTGTTCTGATACTTCACAGGTACTTAATATGGGCTAACGGACTTGTACATTTATAGGATCCCAGGAGAAATCTGACATCTGTTTTTAGCTGACATTCCTTGCCTTCTATTATTTTTCTTCATTCCATCCCGTTGGCCTTCTGTGACCCAGAAAGCTTCCAGTCTCCTTCCCGTCCCCTGTCCTTTTCCCAGTCCCCTCCCCCCGCATCAGCTTTCCTTTCTTGTTTAATAAGAGGAAAGGGAAAGCCAACAGATAAGATCAACTCTAAGCTGCCCAATTTACTGTCCACCACAGGGTGAAGGAAGCAAGGCTGCTTCTAAATGCTTATGTTCACGGCACTGTTAGCTCAAGAGATAACTTGTGCTACGCTTGGGAGTGTGTAGATTAAATGAGGGGCATGTGTACATGACACTTTAAAGCAGGTTAAATGCTTTTGCGCTGCTTTAATGGTGTTGGTGTTTGCACACGTCAGTGATGTATTGCGCATTAATTCCAGTCACTGTAGCACATTTGGCATCGTAATGCGCCTTAAATGACTTCGGGGCACAACAAACTGTAGCAGTTTAGTCTGCTGCCCTACAGCCATGCAGCAAAGCATCGGGCTCCATGCAGCTCAGGGTCTGTGCAGGCAGCCCATGCAGGCAGCCTGGCAGCAGCCTGGAAAGGTAGGCTCCACCCAAGGAAAAAAAAAAGCGGGGCGAGCCTGATCCTTTTTTTTCCCCCCTAGAGCCACTCTGCCTGCATGAGCTGCACAGGGACCCGATCCTCCCCTCCGCAGCTGCAGTGCCTCCCGAGACCGCTGAGCTAGGTGCCCGAGGGCAGGTGCAGCCTGGCGGGGGCTGCCACTGCCGCGGAGCGAAGCACCAACTCCCCCCTCCCCACAGCCCAGAGATCGCTCCACCCACTGGCAGTTCACCCTCCCCTCCCCGCTGCCAGAGAGACAAGTACGACATGGGTGTACATGACACAGGGGTTTACTTTGCCCTAATTTGAAGCAGTGTTTTTAAAAACCCACCGCTTCAATTTAGGGTGAAGTAAACCCTTGTTTTGTCTATACACAGCCCTTGACAATAACTTGAATTTTACCCCTATCTTAAATCTTGTCCAGAAGCTTTATCTTGACTGTCCTGGTCCATTAAATTGTAATCAAGCTGGACCATCAATGTATGTTTACCATATAAACCAGAGGTATCGCTGCAACTCATGCAAATATGAACTAGTTGGGGGTGGTCCTGCTTTGAGCAGGGGTTGGACTAGATGACCTTCTAAGGTCCCACCCAACCCTAATGTTCTATGATCCTATAATACCCAAGAGAACTTTAAAATAGCTAGCTTGAATACTAACAGAAATATAGCTGTGTGGCCAAGGCTGTGGCTGAAACCCATGCAATTGCTGATAAATTGCTACTAGTACCTATACTAGCTAATTTAAAAGCTAGCTCAGCTTTGTCCGCATAATCAGTATAGACAGATCCTTGGATGAAGACTGAAGCTCAGGTGCTGCTGACATTTAAAATTAGTAATGTATTGTTTTTTTCTGTATTGGTGCTGGAGTGCTCCACAGTTTGTAACAGTTCGTTACAACTCCAGCAACTGGAGTGCTCCACAGTTTGTATCCCAGTATCTGAACAACCATTTTTCCATTTCCTATAGCAGTGATAACCCAAACAAATGAAAACCAGCAAGGGAAAAAGAAAAAAATGATTATTGAATTTCCTATCCTTGCGCACAGAGAGAACCAGGAAAAAGTCACAGTTACCAGACCCCACACAGTGCAAAATTTGAGTCTCCTAGTGCAGATGCAGTTATATCAATAAAGAGCTGATTCATACCAACATAGTTATTACAGTATGGGAAAGGGATAAGGTATAAAAGTATGAAGTACTCTTGTACTAGTATAAATGTATCCACAAGAGGGTTTGCATTGGTAAAGCTATATCAGTGTAAAAATCACATCCACAAATGAGATTTTTATACTAGAAGAACAACTTTCAAGCTCAAGTGTGGTCTCATAAAACTGCATCTCACCTCTCAGTTTTTATCTGACTCTTCACCTGTAGTGAATTGTCAGAATCATACGCAAGCAAAGCTGTATTGGTCAAAGGTAAGATAAGGCATGGTGCTTTTCCTCTTACAGTTTTTTTTTCTCAGAGGAAGCAGTTTCCTGCAAAAATCTATGCTGACAAAAGTACAGTTTTATTCATACAAGATGCACACACACTAGGAGCATTTTGTCAGTGTAGCATACCAGCATACCTGCAAAGCATTACTACTGGCCATAACTCTAAACTGTTTTGAAGCAGGGGTAGTATTGGTGTTGTTTTTCTGCATGGTGTCTACAAACAGGATCCTGATCCAGCAGTAGTCTCTAAACACCACCACAAAGGACGGAGTAACAGTGCTTACAGTTCAGAACTTGATATGATTATAACTTTCTTCTTACTTCGAGATAGAAAAAGGTTTTACTTGCACAGAAACATTCAGAAAAGCAATTATCTCTTTCTTCAGGATGGTCTCATCTGTTCTCAGTCAGCATAGATTGCATACCTTTGAGTTTAATTATGCATATCATGATAACAGTCATTGTTCATTCAGTGTCGCTCAGCATAAGTCACTAAAGAGTAATACCTGTTCATGAACAGGATAAGGATTCCTAAAACATTTTATATTGTGCTACAAGGACCAGTCTTGATATATAGACCTAAAGTAAGTTTGTTTCATTTTGGTTTTTGCAAATTGTATTTTTATTGAAGATATTTTTACTTCCATACAATCTTGAGACCAAGTGACCAGAAACACAGAAAAAGTTCTTCCTTGATATTGATAAACTAGAGAAAAATTACTGTTTCACAAATGCACAAAATAGTCTCCTACACACAAACAAAATGTCTTTTATTACTGTCTCCACTACACTTTATCTGGACTATGAGTTTGCTGGTCTCACACATGAAAATTAATTGGACTACTTTAATTGCTATCTCTATAATGAGCATGGGCACTAACGATTCCATTTTGCAGCTCATTATCAACCTTGATTCAGTTTCTCCTGTTTTTTCATTCAGTGACACAGTCATGGTTAATTTAACTTTCAAAGGATGCACATATTTCTCAAAACAACCTGTTTTCAGATGTTTTCTGCTCTATATTCTAAAAACAAAAGCTGCTCTTTGTAAAGGCAGCAGTTAGTGTCCAGGTCCAAAAAGCTTTGAAATTAATGAGAATCTTTTGGATTCAGTAGGTTTTTGCATCAGACCCTCAAAACAAAAATGTATGTACAGTTTTCTCTTTATGTTGGTAATGAAATTTATAATGGTGAGGTTTCTGGATGATTAGTATCCTTGGTTCTTTTGTAATCACTGATAAAAGTTCCTACTCGTCAATCAAAGTTCGTCTCACTGTGCAAGTTTTCTTCACCGTCTGAGTAAAAAGGAGCAAATAAATGTTTGCTTTTCTTAAGCATATTCTGCTGATTTTAAATGAAGTTTACTTCCA